GGATGTGATTCGTAGTGGTTTGAGAGGATCTCTGTTGTTCGATTTATTGTAAGGCACACCAAATTTGGTTTGGCTGGGCTTAACTAGGCAGTAACACCGATTGGACATATGTGAAAATTCATGAGTATTGAACGGGCCAAAAAAGTCTAATTTTCTGGCACAAAAGAAGCTTATTTTGCTTTACCAAGTTAGCCCTGCATAAGGATCCTCACTTATTTTCTCCAGTTGATCGAGGCCAAAACACATGGACTCTCCTTGTTGTAGGACTATATCAACAGCTGAAGTACATTTGCATCCAATCAGCTTCGAGAAATAAAAAGCGAAAAAATAGTCTTGGCTTTAAATTTTGGATATACTTTGTCATGTTTATCCCGTAGGTGTTTTATTTTAAAATTATGTACTCCACCCATGAAAGGAAATAGAACACGTGTTAAACACACAGTACTACAACTAAGAAGCTTGTCTATACATGTATGCTAAAGAAGCAAAAAAGTTTTATGTATAAAAAGGTACCATTTATGTGCTCTATTTACTTCTTCCATTTATTACATTATTGTAGAATCTTCAGAAGTGTTCCATAGGGACCTTTTGTATACAGAAAACTGCATAGTTTCCAACATACAAATTAGCAGGATACCTTCCTGCAAAAAGATAAATGGTCTTTCACCGTCTTCCACAGCAATTTGAAAGCTATCCCCTGGCTGGACTTTGCTAGGACTGACTGGCCTGCAAAGAAAGGGATACTTTACAAAAATTAAATTGGAAGTTGCCAGTGGGCCCCAACCATATCCTTAAAGCTCTTTCATAGGGTAAGGTTGGAACATCAGCGTTAACATTACTTATGGTTACTGCATCCAATTTTAGAGACCCTGTTGCTCATTTTAAAATAAATACTTAAAACAAGGCTTAAAACTCGCCTTTCCTGCTGCCTGCACCTCTAAATGTCGCTGCAATCCAGAGAAATCTTCTGCTAAAGTTCACACTGAAACCAACGATTCTGGGAATGTTAATATCTTTGATCCCTCACAGCTTTCATTGGGTACTCCCTCTGGACCTCCACGCATCAGGCTACAGTCACATCCAAGTGTCACATTTTTTAAGCATTTTTCACGTGTTTTTGGAAGCAGAATTGCACTTTTTTTGCAGCTTTTATTAGGAGTTTTTGCAGGTGTTTTTCAACTAAAAAGATGTGAAGTGCTGCTTAAAAAGGGGCAGAGAGCTGCTATTTGAGAAAATGCGCAACAAAGCACTTGAAGAAAAAAAGAAAAAAAAGCTCAAGCTGCGCTTTGCGGGCGTTTCCGTTGAAGTCTACTGGGACAAAAACGATCAATTTTGCCTGTAAAGTAGCTCATGTACTTCTTTGAGCAACAGGCATTTGTTCAGAATGCTCAGATGTGAAGGGAGCCTGAAAAAATGTCTGACAAAAGCTGCAAAAACATATGGTTCTGCTTCAAAGAACTCTCAAAAACACATGAAAAAAGCTTGAAACGTTGACTCCTAGGTGTGAATGTAGTGGAGATGTAACCCAAAATATTTACTTTGGATCCAGATAATTAAAGTTGGCCTTTTAAAAACTGTGAAGTTAAGGCCTCCTCTCCAGATTCTTGTTCACCTTCAAATTCAGATTCTTAGTCACCTCCAAATAAAATATTTTATGCAATCTACTGCCCCAAACCTAACGTCTGCCCCCATACCCTTTGAGAAACTTTGCATTATGGGTACAAAATGCAAAGGTCTAGTGTCCAACATATCATAATCTTATGAGCACTTACTACATGACTGAATGGGAAACACATTTTGAATGGGAACTTTACGATTGAGGAAAAAGGCAGTATCTAGGAAACTACAACTACACTCTGTACAGTTGACAAAGAAAACCAATTCAAGATCCTTTACCTCTAGTACCCAAACTCTGCCCCTCTATATTCCCTCAACCCCAAGATCTCAGACCAAAGCTTTGCCAATGTCTTCAACAATCAGGGACTTCACTCCATACTCTTTGGACTTGCCCTAAGATATCCTCATTCTGACAGGGCATTGAGCATCTCATTTATACTCTTCTGCAAATCCATATCAACCTTGACCCTGCCACTGCCTTATGTGTCCAGAAATGCCAGAAAGTTACTTTTGCAAAGTTTGACTGCTGCATGGTGCTCAATTGCTTTCCAGTGGCGGCGGGAACACAGGCAGTTGATTTTCAACCTATATTCTTGAGAAATAAGTAAGCTCTTACAGCCAGACTGAATAATGGTTGTACTAATTATGACCATATGTCGGACCCCTGGGTCCACTTTGATACCTGCACATAACTGTATGCTTTAAAAATACCTCCCTCTCCAGTTTTAGTTCCTACCCAATCACCTATACCCCCTCTTTTTAGGTTTATCATGGGTCAAAGTATCTTAAATGGTATGTAGGTTGGAATTGCAAGTAGCGTCATCTGTTGCTATGCACACAATATTCAACATTTTGATAGTCATGCAATGTACACTCACTGGCCACTTTATTAGTTACACCTTGTTAGTGCCGGGTTAGACCCCCGTTTGCCTTCAGAACTGCCTTACTTTTTCATTACATAGATTCAACAAGGAGTTGAAAACATTACTCAGAGATTTTGGTCTGACTGATGTGATAGCATGTCTATCATCTCGACCAGAACGCCCATTCTCCTCTCATATCAACAAGGCATTTTCGTCCACAAAACTGCTAATCACTGGATATTTTCTCTTTTTTGGACCATTCTCTGTAAACTCCAGATATGGTTGTGCGTGAAAATCCCAGTAGATCTACAGTTTTTTTTTTTTAAATACTCAGACCAGTCCATCTGGAACCAACAACCATGCCACATTCAAAAGTCACTTAAATCCCCTTTCTTCCCCATTCTGATGCTTGGTTTAAACTTCAAGCCATCTTCACCACATCTAGATGCTTAAAATGCATGGAGTTGCTGCCATGTGATTGTCTGATTAGCAATTTGCTACAATTGAACAGGTGTACTTAACACAGTGGCCAGTGAGTATGTATTCAGAGGCATCTAGGCTCAACGATCTACATATATTACTAGCCTGTACATGGTTAACTTTCCGCTATCTCTTGACATTGTATGTGGCTAAATCCTTTAGCCTTTGTTCCAATTACTAGCACTGCCTATTATTTCAAGGTACTGTACCCACAAACATAAAAATATGGCGTTTAAAAAAAACTGTGGTATAGTCCAGCAAAGTCAATGCATGTTACAATCTGATAGCACAATCTACTGTGCTAACAAGTTGTACAAAAATTTGTGTGGGCTCATGTAAGGACTGCATGCGTAAAATATAGACAAGGTTCTAAGAAGGTGATGGCCTGTACACACAATGAGAAAATCACACAAAAATTTTCGACAGCCATTTCCAATTTTTAGTACAAAAAAAAAAAAAAAAACAAGGGTGCACGCTAGAAAACACACATCAGATTTTCGTTTAATGTATACAGTAATTGTACAGAAATAGAAAAAAAAAAATGGGCATGATTAGAAGCATAGAACAACCCTACACTTCCTCTTCTACTATGCTAGTACACAACTACGTTTGCCTTTATCTGCCAAGAATTTTTTTACAAGTCAATACCAGTCTGACCACTGAAGGATATGCACTTTCGTGCGAAATCGAACAGTCCGTTGTCCGATTTTCTCATGGTGTGTTCTAGGCTTCAGACTGGAAGAGCTGGTCCATTTTTGCTACGCCTAAACAGATTTTAAATCTGGTTATACAGGTTTTAATCCTATTTTGTGACAATGGTCAAACATCATACCTAATCACGCTGGATGCAATATGCAGGCAGAACCACCAAGAAGCTTGCAGTGAGAATTCAGAAACCTATGAGAAATATTAAGAAGGGATATTGGAGACGGTTTCCCTAGGCATTTTCCGTCCTTTCATAGAGACCCAAGTCTGCTTAACATTTATGGTTTAGATAGGGTTAACAAACATTAGGAGGGGGTCAAATTTAAGAAAGGATATATTTCACAAGCTGAAACAAGATAGATATTTGAACTTGACACCTTGATCCCTCATGGCATGAACATGGATATAGATCTAAAATTGTTTTAATCACAGGTTTTTGATACTTTAGCCATATAGTATAAAAAGGGGGGGGAGCAGAAGAAAGCCAGGAAGTCCACTAGAAATCAAAGAAAAAATTAGGTGCCTCCAGAGTCGTCTGGAAGGGTGCTACCTAAGGCATATGAAGAAAAAAAAAAAAACAAGAAAAATAGGCTACACACCTAAAAGGTTAACCTCAAAAACGTATTTATTTATAAAACATACAAAGTAAAAAACATTGCATCAGGAACGATCACTCTTAATCGTGAGAACCTCCCCCACCACAGGTATGGGGAAACCCTCCCACACTAGACAGTCACTGATGGTACCAAAGAGTGCCCCTTGTATGTACACAGCACTCGCACCTCCCCAAAAGGAACCCAACCCACCTCCCCCAAACACCACAACCACCCCTCAACAATCCTCCCAACCAACCCCAAAACACTCCCCGGAAATACCTCCCAAGGTCCCCCAATACTCCTCTCACAATGGCAGCTATCTAGGTCGTATCAGATGTGCAGGCTTGACCTTGCTTCTGGGAGGGTCATTGTGGCAGGAGTATTGGTGATCTTGGGAGGTTTTTTGAGGGGTGGTTGTGTTGGGGGAGGTGGGTTGGGTCCCTTTTGGGAAGGTGCGAGTGTTGTGTGTACATACAGGGGACACTTTTTGGTACCATCGGTGACTGTCTAATTTGGGAGGGTTGGATGGGAGTTCCCACGATTAAGAGTGATCACCAGATTCCTGATGCAATGTTTATTTTACTTTGTATGCTTTATGAATAAATATGTTTAAGGTTAGCCTTGTAGGTGTGTAGCCCATTTTCTTTTTTCTAGTTTTTTTCTACTTTAGCCATATATCAAATTTTACTGATTTTTAGTTTTAATTTAAACATACACTATTGCCAAAAGTATTGGGACACCCCTCCAAATCATTGGACTCAGGTGTTTCAATCACCTCCATGGCCACAGGTGTATAAAATCAAGCACCTAGGCAAGGAGACTGCTTCTAAAAAAAATTTGTGAAAGAATGGGTCGCTCTCAGGAGCTCAGTGAATTCAAGCGTGGTACCGTGATAGGTTGTCACCTGTCCAATAAAGTCTATCAGTGAAATTTCCATGCTACTAAATATTCCACCGTCAACGGTTAGTGGTATTATAGCACAGTGGAAGCAACTGGGAACAACAGCAACTCAGCCACTATGTGGTAGACCACATAAACTTGACAGAGCAGGGTCAGTGCATGCTGAAGCGCACAGAAATCTCCAACTGTCTGCAGAGTCAATAGCTAAAAGATCTCCAAACTTTGTGTGGCCTTCAGATTAGCACAACAGTGCGTAGAGAGCTAATGGAATGGGTTTCCATGGCCGAGCAGCTGCATCCAAGCCGTACATCACCAAGTGCAATTAAAGGTGTCGGATGCAGTGGTGTAAAGCACACTGCCAATGGACTCTAGAGCAGTGGAGACCTGTTCTCTGGAGTGACGAATCACACTTCTCTGTCTGGCAATCCGATGGACATGTTGGGATTTGGCAGTTGCCAGGAGAACGGTACTTGCCTGACTGCATTGTGCCAAGTGTAACGTTTGGTGGAGGGGGGATTATGGTGTGGGGTTGTTTTTCAGGGGTTGGGCTTGGCCCCTTCGTTCCAGTGAAAAGGAACTCTTAAGGCGCCAGCATACCAAGACATTTTGGACAATTGTATGTTCCCAACTTTGTGGGAAAGGTTTTGCAATGGCCCCCTCCTGTTCCAACATGACTGTGCACCAGTGCACAAAGCAAGGTCCATAAAGACATGAATGAGCGAGTTTGAGGTGGAGGAACTTGACTGGCCTGCACCTCAACCCGATAGAACACCTTTGGGATGATTTCAGCAGAGACTGCGAGCCAGGCCTTCTCATCCGACATCAGTGCCTGACCTCACTTCTAGAAGAATGAAGAAACATTCCTATAGACATTCCTAAACCATTTGGGCGGCCTTTCCAGAAGAGTTGAAGCCGCTATAGCTGCAAAAGGGTGGACAAACTCAATATTGAACCCTACAGACTAAGACTGGGATGCATTAAAGTTAATTTACATGTAAAGGCAGGCGTCAATACTTTTGGCAATATAGTATATATTTTTCCTGATGTACTAGTATATTAATTTATATTATTAGGTAGTTTTATCTTGCCATATAAGTTTGCCCCACAAGATGGTGACAATATAGATATAGACATAATAGATAACATATGTAATTTTAGAAATAAACCACTAGATGGAGCCAAGAAATATTGCAGGTGGCGTTTTTAATGTTACTCGAATACTGAAGATTCTTCATATTTTGCAGATAAGATATATAATACATGCAAGAACCATCTGCCGAAAGCACCAGAATATTGTTATTTAATAATCTTAGAGATTCTAAAGGCTCGAGGTTTTTTACCTTTATGCATTAAGGGCACTCCTGATTATGCCGTTTGAGACGCACTCCAGCTCCAGGGCGCACAGAGCGGTGGAGATTCCACGGAGAGCTTTGGCACCGTAATATGCGAGTGTACCACTGTTTTTAGCTTTCAAAGTTTTTTTAAATGGTAAAACCCTATAAAGTTTCTCTCTGGCTTCCTCTCTATACATGGGCTATGCAGAACTGTGTCAAAGCGTATACTGACCTTTCCTTGGTGTATACTTAGGGGGTCAACAACCTCTGGTGAATTTGGTCCCTGCAGGGGACATGGGTGACTGCACAAAGATTGGAGGAATGGAGTATATTTGCACAGAGCACAAATCACTATCTTTAGAAAAATCATGGCACATGTTTGCACTTTAATGTGGCACTTTGTATTTGCACTGGCACTATGGACTTATAGGGACACTTTTTTGATTCACTGCACAAATGAGGAGTATGTTGTTATAAAGGCTTGCACTATAATTATTTAAGAGTTGTATAGGGTGATCACACTATATTATAGAAGATCAATAATCCACCCATCAGTGGTCACACATCCATACCATAATCCTTTTAAGCCATCTTTGTAACCCTGCTAAATACGTTGGCACGTTTATGTACAATCTCTGTGACATGAAGCACTGCATGTAAGAGATGCTGGTGAGCAAGCAATGTGCACTAAAGTACAGATCACATCAGTGGTATGGGTACAGCGGAGCCACCTGTGTGTGCTGGAATGCAGATCTCATCAGTGGTATAGATATGGAGTCGCTCCTGTGTTTGCCGAGGTGCAGATCGTACAACCGGCATAGATATGGTGGAATAATTTATGTCTCCTAGAGAGTGGATCTCACTGGTAGCTTGGACACCTGGAAATAAGTTCTTTGTGAGGACTGCAGATTTCACTAGTGACATGGCTACAGGAATGTCACTTTGGGTACTGAGGTTCAGATCTCATCAGTGGTATAGAAACCAAGTCGCCACCATGAATGTTTGGGTGCAGATTTATCCAGTGGCATAGATGTAGAGGACTCAGCTGTTTTGCTTGGGTGCAGATCTCAGCGGTGGCACAAATACCAAAGACATACCCATGTGTGCTGGAGTGCATACCTCAGCAGTGCATGGATACTAAAGAGTGAGCTGGAGTGCAGATCTCATTGGTGGCATGGATACCAAGGAGTGAGCTGTGTGAGCTGGAGTGCAAATCTCATCGGTGGCATGGATACAAAGGAGTGAGCTGTGTGTGCTGGAGTGCAGATTTCACCGGTGGCATGGATACCAAGGAGTGAGCTGTGTGTGCTGGAGTGCAGATTTCATCGGTGGCATGGATACCAAGGAGTGAGCCGTGTGTGCTGGAGTGCAGATCTCATCGGTGGCATGGATACCAAGGAGTGAGCTGTGTGTGCTGGAGAGCAGATCTCATCGGTGGCATGGATACCAAGGTGAGCTGTGTGTGCTGGAGTGCAGATCTCACCAGTGGCATGGATACCAAGGAGTGAGCTGTGTGTGCTGGAGTGCAGATCTCAACAGTGGCATGGATACCAAGGAGTGAGCGGTGTGTGCTGGAGTGCAGATCTCATCAGTGGCATGGATACCAAGTTGTAATATAGTGCAGCGCTAAAATATATATAGACCAAAGAGAACAATAAAAAATACAATAACTGTATAAAATAGTTTGTATAGTAACTGGTGTCATAAAACGTGAGCCTTGGCTCAGGGAGCATATCAGCAACATTAAAAAAAGGCTACAAGGGGCACTCACTGTCAAACCATTACAGGTTGAAACACAATAAAGACCCAACATCATTGAAATTTACAGGGGTAGATATGGTCTGATCCCAATGGAGAGGTACCAATAGACTACGTGCGGTTTCTCAACTTGAGACCCGTTGGGTGCATGAATTGCGTACCTTACACCCCTATGGACTGAACATAGACAATGACATAAATTGTTTCATCAACAACAGTTAGTATTTTCATCTTTTATCGTGTATTTGTTCTATTGTTTACACCTCCATTTAATACTAGTACATTATATTTACTTATGGGATTTTAATTTTTTACTAGTTCATTATATTCATTATGCATTTTATTATATGGCTATATTGTATATTTTTATGTTAATTACAATTAGGTTTTTATAAGGGGTCCTTTTACCCCTCTTTTCTATAATGGACATTTGATCATTTTATTATGCAAATATGGTACTAGTTACAAGGAGACATTGACACATTTTTTTTTCCCCATGGAACATATTTATCATTTTATAATTATTTTTTATATTGGGATACGCACCCTAAAGCCTGATAATATATTTTAACCTCTATGCTTTATATTTTCTCAATCGTTTTACATATTAGGACAGTAATATTATTTTAGTCCGGATCTACAAGAAAATGGTGCACGCTTCAATGCACGTGCACACTAAAAATATTGCACTTAGAAAATGGCGCCTGCCGAATGCGCATGCGCATGCACCATTATATTCTTCATGGTCCATGGAAAAATAGCACTTGTATAAACGCGCATGCGCAGTGTGATTTGTCTCCAGGAAAATGGCGCTTGCTGAATACGCATGCGCCATTGCCTATATAAACCATTGGCGCATGGTTTGGCGTTATTGACGATCCACCCAGACGACGTGCGTTCTGCACGAAACGCATAGGAGGAGTCAATAACGCTGTGACGTCACGCCGCCGGAGCAACATGGAGCTCCGGTGGCCTTCTTTTTGCCAGGACAGTTAGTCCAAGTTACACTGATATATACATTTTCACCTGGATACCCTGCTGCTACCTTGTGGATGCTTTATACTCAATAAACTACCTTATTATACTACACTATGGAGTTTTCTCTGCTTTAAACTCCCCTGGGGAGGATTACTTTGCAGATTCCCAGGACCCGCAGTGCGATTTCTATACACCTGGTGAGCTGACCTGTCCATTCCTTAAAGGGACTTCTGTTATCCTTCCCACCATACACCAGATGCTACAGGACCCAGGCACATTCAGTGGGGGATTCTACTCCATTCCTGTCTAGACCTGGATGACCTTCGGTGACATCAGGCTATTTACATACAAATGAGCATTTTATTATGTACTCTGGTGAGTGCGAATTCTTCTCATTTTTGACTGCACAAGCACCAAGTTCCAGTTGAATACAGGATTCATGTTTTATGACACCAGTTACTATACAAACTATTTTATACAGTTATTGTATTTTATTGTTCTCTTTGGTCTATATATATTTTAGCGCTGCACTATATTAGCATTTGTCTGTTTGAGGTTTTATTGGTTACCTGAGTGCTTAGCAGCTTTTGGTGCGCTCGCAATTATATACTATTTGTTTACATGGATACCAAGGCGTGAGCTGTGTGTGCTGGAGTGCAGATCTCATCGGTGGCAAAGATACCAAGAAGAGAGCTGTGTGTGCTGGAGTGCAGATCTCATCGGTGGCATGGATACCAAGGAGAGAGATGTGTGTGCTGGAGTGCAGATCTCATCGGTGGCATGGATACCAAGGAGAGAGATGTGTGTGCTGGAGTGCAGATCTCATCGGTGGCATGGATACCAAGGGGAGAGAGAGATGTGTGTGCTGGAGTGCAGAGCTCAGCAGTGGAATAGATACCAAGAAGTAAGCTGTATGTGCTGGAGAACAGATCTCAGCAGCAGAGGCATTGATACCAAAGAGTGTGCTAAACATGCTGAAGAAGTGTGGATCTCAAATGGTGGCATTGATACCAAGGAGAGTGCTTTGCAGGGTGGATAAAACTCAAAAAAAAAAAAAGTTTTTTTTTTTTATTTAACCACTTGTCTACTGGGCACTTATACCCCCTTGCTGCCCAGGCCAATTTGTAGCTTTCATCACTCTCACACTTTGAATGACAATTGTGCGGTCATGCAACACTGCACCCATGTGAAATTTTTATAACTTTTTTCACACAAATAGCTTTCTTTTGGTGGTATTTACTCTCCATTGAGGGTTTTATTTTTTGAACTATAAACAAAAAAAAAGAGCAAAAAAAAATTTGAAAAAAATATTTTTCTTTGTATCTATTATAAAATTTTGCAAACAGGTAATTTTTCTCATTCACTGATGTGTGTTGATGAGGCTGCACTGATAGGCAGCACTGATGGGCACTGATGAGGTGACACGGA